GGTATTGTTTTTTTAAGAGGGGTGGGGAGGGGGGCTATTTTCCACTTGGGGTGTTGGGGTTGGGTTGTTTTGTTGGGTTTTTTGTAGTAACAAAGGGAAAAAAAGACTTTTTCCATGCGATTTGTACTTAACATGGTGCCACTCGGGCGAGTGGCTTAGATGTGGAGAGGGCTAGAGCTTTGTTTAGTAGGAGAGTAGAGCATACAGTAGAATAAGCTAGAATAAGATGAACAAAGGTGTTTAAAATGTGGGCCTTGAGTTGTTGGTGGCTTGGTAGCTGGAGATGGGGTCCTTTGTGGACTGCTGCTGGCAGGGTGCTGGAGGCACTCCTGCCCTCCTTGCTCTGGGTGTGCTCTGAGACTGCACTGTGTGGCTGTGGCCTCGTGCCCGTGGCTGCATCTGTATATAGGTGACTGTTAGCAGCTGCTGCCCCAGTGCTTTGCAGGCCTCTTGGGTGGGAGATGGGGCAGTCGCCAGGGCCTGCAGGTGCCAGCAGGCTTCTGGCAACAGAGGCACCCCCCACCTGCAGTGCTCAGGGTTGCCTTTGTCAGCTCTGGGTCCCTGATGGCAGGTGGCTGGTGCAGCCTAACCTCCTTTCTCTTGGAAGGGCTTCCTTTCCCTCCTACCTCTCCTCACTGGCATTGCCCTGTTCTCTGAGCCCTGGCTACAGAGAACCATGCTGGAGCGGGATGGGGAGTTCTGCCTGCAGTGGACACGTAAATCCTGCCTGTACTCATGTTGTGATGGAGGGAGCCACAGCAGGGATTTGCAGGAAGGATGCCCAGGGACCTTCCATGGGCTGAGGAGTGCCAGGGCCATCTGGCCCCTCCACCTTCTGGCTGCCTGCATCATGTTCAATTTGGCTTATGTTCTTGGATGGCGTTTACAGCCTCCACCTTTGTCTTGTGTTTTGTTGAAAGAAAAGCTAAAGGGCTCACATTTAGTATTTTGGCCTTGTCTGATGCTGATATCATCCTTCCCTCAGCACCATGAGCACCACCATTGATTCCCACTCTGATGGTCTCTGCTTGAAGCACTGTAGGCATAGAGGAGAAGGGACTGAAGAAGTATCTCCCCTCAGCATGCCCTAATGGGCATTGTGCAGAGATGCTGAGCCCTGCCCCCCTCCGTGCCAGCCTGAGGGAATGAGGATGGTGGCAGCACATCCCTTTTGAAGGGGTCTCCTTGCTCCAAGCAAGAAGTGAGGCCAGAGGGCACAGCCCTGTATCCAACAGCTTAAAATTACCCTGTGGAGCCTCCTGCAGAGCTGGGAGGCCCTGCTGCAGGGAGAAAGCAGACCTGTAGCCAGATCCAGCAACTATAAATTCTCTCCTGTACTGAGCATACTCTTAATTCTTGGCACCCACAGGCACAAGTTATTTTAAACTGGTCTACAGCTGCCTGCTTGCCTTAGAGTCATGTCCATGAGTGCCCTGTGCACATGGGGCTGTGCTTTTATGAATACCTAGCTCTGTATTTATTTGAATGATAAAGAGAGAGCAGAGATGAAGCTCTTCTCTTTTGTCCACTTTTCTCTGGCTGCTGGAGCAAACAAATAGCATAACCATGAGGCTGGGAAAGCCCCTTTTCTTACGTTCCTTGACTTCCAAGACTGGGTCTTTGCCCAAGAAAAAAATAACTCTGTGGTGAATCAGGCATA